TTTCACATCTCCTCTGCTCTGTCTCTTCTTCATCTCTCTCCCTTTGTTGCTTATCTCGCTCCATTCTCTCTTGTTTTGCCCCAAGTTCTCTATCTTGAGCATCTTGCATAACTTTCTCTTCCTTATCCAGTAGACCAGCTTCTCTACTTCTAGCAGCCTTTAAGTTCTCCCTCTCCCTCATTTCCCTGGCATGTCTGAATTTAGCCTCTGCTCTATCCATTGCCTCCTTCATTGCAGCAGCAGAAGCAGCTGCAACAGAGTTTGAAACAAAGTCTTCAGCAGGAAATACTTCTGGTTGTTCACTAACACTATTTTGGGTCCCACCCATGCCAAAATCTTCAAGTTCATCCATCTGAGATGTCACTGAGCTTCTTGAAGCAGTACAGGACTGAGAATTATGAGAAAACTGAGTAGAATTTGGGAATGAAGAAAAATCATTGACCCTTTTTGCATTTGAGGCTGAAAAGGAACCTCCAGCGGACTTTGAAACTCGTGATGGCCTTGGAGGTGGGGGCCTTGAAGGTGGAGGAGCACTTGTTGGTTGTGTGACGAGAGGAATCTCTGACACAATAAGCCATGTATCAGCCAATGAGTCAAAATTTGACTCAGATCCTGGAGTTGCATTGACCTGGGAACTTGTCTCATTAGAACTGGCATTCATATATGAAGTAGTAGTTTGACTAACAGATCTTGGAAAATCTGTTGACACATTAGGCATGCCAAACATGGTTTGATGAGATTCTGGGAAATTGTCAATGGAGGATGTTTTACCCTTTGCATAGCCCTCATAATCCTCTTTATCACATAGCTCTTTGCTAGTAGGGGCTTGACCATTCATGCTTCTATCCTTCCCTCTCTTATTTATCTCAGACTGCCTGGATTTCTCAAGACCATCAAATACTCCCCCACTTACAGATGAACTTTCCATTCTTGTGTTCCTTGATCCATTGAGTGTATTAATTTCTTCCATTGGATCTGTGAACAACCCTGATGATGAATCTGCAGGAGTTGATGCAGACTCTAAAACAAAGAATGGGTCTTCCATCAAATTTGAGGTGGTTTTGATTGAATTTGAAGATGGTTTCTGGGACCTGCTGGACTCTGAAGTTGACCTGTGCCAAAAGGAGTGAGTTCACTATCAGCTGACTGCCTTATTCTCGCAAAATGCAATGCTTTCAAACAATCCTAATTTTAGCAAGAAATTAAACATCCTGAAATGAGCACTGTCAAAGCGCAACATAAACATAAGTAATCCTCTTACTGCATTCTTGTTTACTTAAGGGAGCAGAAATGGTTGGAAAAAATTTGGCATCTCACTATTAAACATGACCAGACAAGTAACATTTGAGGTGGTTTGGATCAAATTTATAGGTTTCTTTGAACTTATAAAAGTTAAAACTAAGGTGTGATCAAATTAACATGCAATGTTGTTAACAAGAATCAACACCAACATTTCCTTCTTTTGTTGCACAGACCCTAAAAAAGCTTATCCAATCCTTACGAGAAGAACATCAAAAATCAAAACTTGCTAACAATCAATAAGATTCTTTGATAAACAGATGATCCCATCTTCCCAAACTAATGTATTAGTAAATTTATTGGAGTTATCCAAGGGTTCAACCTTTATTGAGGGATATAAAATTGTACAGAAGATGATAAAAAGTCCTTTAACATTAAAAATTCATCTACTATACAAAGAAGAAAATTCACAAAAATTGGGAAAATATCCATTTCTTTTATCAGCCAAATAAATTTAATTAAAAGGAAGTACAAGGTATGATATCCATGCAATAGTTGTCTAGTTGCCTTTTTAAAGATTTTCAAGGATCTAGTGGGAAAGCTCCATCCATCCCTCAAGCCTATGTTAGATATGGGCAGGAGTACATGTCCAAGTTGAACGAATTATTTGATGAAAGAATTATTCCATGGTACCGATCAAACACACTCAGGAGTGGAGAGCAGGAAATACATACCAACATAAAATAAGCCCATTTATACTAGTTTAATATTTGGCTACTAAATAATTGGAAACAACAGTGAAATTCAGATATGTCAGAACATCAAAACAATTCCAGATGAAAACCTTGCTAGGGGCTTATTTTCTGGTGTTTTCTTTTTAATGTATCTTAAGGTGATTTGATGAGTGACATGATAATTTTCCATGCCAATTACAACCCTACTCCTAAATGAGACATGTAGGTGCATTAACCTGATTGAGAAAATTATTATAGATCTGGTTATAAATTGGTAATAATAATAAACTTTACCTTAAAAATAATATCTAGCCATATACTGGTCAGAAGGCAACAGTGCTAAAGCAATTAAATTGCAGCATCATTACCTACTTGAAGAAAGGTCACTCCAGGGGTATCTACCCTACCAATATACTGGTTTCGTTGAACATATTTACTCATTTCTGACCCATGAAAATGTGGAAACTAATGTAAGCAAATCTTGAATAAGCATCCACAGCTAACACAACCAAAATTCCTAACTTAAGCAATAATGTAAAATGCCAGAACAAAATAACATCAAACCCACAGTTAGATATAAACAGCACAACCATCACAAAATAGACAGATTTAAGTATAACACGCATGATTACGCTAAAAAACCAACTTATAGAGAAGAATGAAACATCGAAACTAGAATATACTTTGAACTGAGAGGGGGGCTACTCCCTCCGAAACCAGGTATTAAATCATCAAAAGCTGACGCATCCTCGTCTGGTCGCATTCTCTCAGTTTTCGTCTCATCCCCTTTCCTTCCTAGATTACCAAGCAGATCATCAAAAGGCGAGCTGTTTTGCCTCTTAGTCTTTGCAGTGGGCGGCGACCCTGAGATCGACGCAAAGATGTTGTCGTACTTGGGAGCTGACGATGTCGAAGAGGTCTTTAGCCCTGGCAACCCATCGAAGATATCATCATCATACACAGGCTTGTCGAAAACTGGCATCGAAGACGACTTGGCATTATGATCCTTGAAAATGGAATCATAATCAAACGACGAGGATGCAGCCGCACGGAATTCGGACGAGTACTTTGGAGGTCCACCGAAGACATCGTTAAACAAGAGACCATCGCGATCGTAGTCGTCAAAAATGGGAGCTAATGATTCGGCGTTAGCAGAAGAGGATTGGCCAAATTCGGATCGGAGTCCGAAATTCGAGACGGAAGAGAGATTACCCCGAGGAGGTGCCATCGGGGCGGATTTACCTTGGGGTCTGATCCCAAAGTCTTTGGCTAACAGCCCTGGAAATTCATCCATTGTTTGGAGAATCAGTGGGTCTGCAGCGTTTCCCGGCAAGATCGATGAACTGATTTCCCAGTTCTTTTAATCTTTCCCCGGAAGTTTAGATCTGAGGAGGGAAGGCGAAGACGGAGGGTGAAGAGTCAATTTAATTCCCAAATTATTTCAGAACAATACAAAATAGTACTCCCTCCTTTTCTTTTATAGTTTGGTTTTGGGTTTTCAGTGTATAAACCAATGGTCCGGTCGGAGCCTCTCTGTATTAAGGGTATCGTTACGCGGTATTATTAAATGGGAAATGATTTTTATATAATATATATATATTTTAATGTATTATTTAAATAGTTAATTTTTTTAATTTATATGAAAATTGTAATATTAAATATATTTATTTATTTAACGATATGTAAAAATGGTAAAAGAAATAATATAAAAAAATTATTTTTATATCACTACCCTTATTATACTATTTTTATTGCACAATATTTTTTAAATTTTTATTTTTTTATTTAGTAAATAATATTGTATTAAAATTAAATTCAATAAATTTAAATTTTTAAATATAATAATATTTACTAAATATATAAAAATAAAAACTTAAACCCTAAAACTAAAACTATAGTGAAATGACGTATTCATTTCACAACATGTAAATTAGACAATTTTGTATGGTGAATGAATTTTCAATTGAAAATTTTTTTATCTAAATAAAAATATTAAACATGAAATTACATACCAAAAAAAGGAAAAAATTTTAATCTTTTGTTATAAAAATTATAAATAAAATTAAACTTAAGACAACTAAATTGAACCAAAAAAATTAAGTGGCATTAATATTAATTAAATCGAAATATTGGACACCAAGGCAAGGTGTAAATGATGTATTTGGTTACATTTTTTAGCTTTATTCCTTCCATTTCCTACTCCAAGTATTTAGGGTTTGTTTGGTACAATGGTTAAAATTCAGCGAATAGCAAGTAGCCGATAACGGGTATCAAGTAGTGGTAGCGGTAGCGGTAGCGGTAGCGGGTGACGGTTAGCGAGTGACGGTTAACGAATAGCGGATAGCGAAAAGTGGGTAGCGGATGATAAATAACGGATTCGATAAATATAACCGTTTAATTATACAATAATTAGTAGTTGTTGTTTAACATTAAATGACTAATAAGAATATATTTAAAAACAAATAAGTGTATCAATTTAAGTTATTCATCAACTAATAAGGACACTTAATCTATTTATTTATTTTTTTAAAAGGTTAAAAGTCAATTTTAGTCTCTAAATTATTTTTTACATTTTTTTATCCATCAATTATAAAAAAAAAATATTTTTTTGTCCTCCATCAATTTTGTCTACACAACTGGCGTTTTTAATCCTTGAACTTTAGATTTATGCACATTTTTTACCCTAAACTAATATTTGTTTCACATTTTTAGTTCTTAAACTTTATTTTATGCACATTTAGGTCGTTAAAAAATTTTTAAAAATGCCAACTGAACAAACTTAATGGAGAAACTACGAGAATAACTAAAAATATGCATTTTTCATATTGATAGATGAGAAAGGTATAAAAAAGAGTTTAAGAACTAAATATGTTCAAAATTAAAAGTTTAAGAACTAAATTTAACATTTAATTTTTTAAAAAATATTTATGACTTCCTTTGACTAAATTGCTTGCCTTGTCTATTGTGTTACTTGGTCTTTTGAAAAATATGTAACATAAGTAAGTTCATAGGCAAAACATGTTAATAAGGAGCTAAACTTTTATAATTATTCTGTCTTCTTGAATTGTTGTGGGTTAAGAATTTGTTTTCCCTTGAAATAGAGTGTCTTTCGAAATGATGACCTATCCATTTCTAGAGAAAGTGATGACCCACCAAATGGAACTCAAACTTTGTGATTCTATATTTGAAAGCTAGGATTTCTTTGAAAGTAGGGTGGTAGTGTAGTTCTAAATTTTCAAATCTACCATTTTATATCCACAAACCTATCTCTTATTGTCCTTTTCTTTAGGAGTGCTCCTCAGTTTTTATTACTTACATTAGTCTTAAGAATTTTTTCCTATAAAAGGGAATTTGCAAGGTTGGTAAGTGCATTGGTTCTTGCTTTTGTCTTTTTGACTGCTACAATTTGCTTTTCTAAATAGTTTGGATGTTCTTTTTTTCAATATTAGGTGAAGAGGTCATACAATTTTGGATAAGTTGGGATAAAATTGTTGAGTTTTGAGGGCACAACGGAAGTAAAAAGTTAAAAATTTAATCCTGTCCTCCTTTAACCCACCTAGGATCCTTATGTACTCATTAACGGTTAAGAAAAGGTTATGATCAATGCCTCAATGATGTGTGCCTTGTTGATATATAGATTTGATCACCATCCTTCAATGAAAATACATAAGAAGCCAAGTGTAGAATTCCTCTAATGGTGATCAACATCTATGCCCAAGGATTTAAAGAAGACAAAGTCAATTTGTTCTCCAAGTTTTTGATAGAATAATTTTAGTGGTTTAAAATTCTACGATGAAAAATTCAACTAGGGTTTCCATTTTCTACTCTTAGTTATATTAATAAGAATAGAAAACTTACTATTCTAATATAATTAGAATTACCAAAATTTGTCTTCAAGTTAAAATAGAAATCTCAAAAGGAAAAGAATTTCCTTTCCTTCCCTTATCATTTTTTGCCACACAACCTAGTCCATGTTAGACTAGGAGTATCGGCCATGGGCTTCCTTACCTATGTGCCACCCAAGCCCTAGCCAAATGCCACTTTGGATTTTTCTTTTCTTTAAGTTAGAACAAATCTGAACTTGAATTAATTAAATTAATTCTATTTGTCAATTTATTCTAGATCTTGATTTGATTAATTTACTATTTCTCTTGTAAAAATACTACTTTCACATATTGTTTCCCCAAAAATCCTCTAGTGGCCTCGCATGTGTGAAATCTGGATGCAGGTATGCCACTTACTTTGTTAAAAGCAAGAAAGGAGGACTTTCCCAATGACCCTCTCCTTCCTCACGATCGACCTCCTTGCAGATGGCGGGAAGAACATTCGATTAAAATTGAAATCTGCGCCTATAGATGATTTGCAAGAAAGAGGGATACCTTCCTCCATAATGGGTTACGAAATCTGCCTTGGACAACTATAAGGACTTAAACACTATCGTGAATTAAAGTTATCAAATCCTAATTAAACTAAACAGCATGCAATTTAAAGTAAGTTCACGAGAACAAGATGTACCAAAATTAAATTAAATATGTTCATTGTTAAATTAAAATGCTATCTATTGACAAATATGGAAATTAAACTACTGTAGAATTAGAGAATTAACCCTAATTAACACTAAAATTAAACATGAACAGGGAATAAATTAACATGCTTGAAATTAAGAAGAAGCGTGAACACCATATAAGTAGTCATTGAAGAAATGCTACTTATCATAAACATTAAATTAATTGCAGACAAAAATGGAACAGTACCTTGAATAAACTTGAAAGATTGAAGTTCATTGCATGAAACGAAATTGTTGAAGCGAATACATGAATTAGTTTATATACTGGAATGATGAAAAACAACCTAGATCTATTGGAAATTGTGCTGAAATCCAAAATTTAAAAGCAATTGCAGAGAAAATAAAATCTGAAAATTTGCAAATGTTTGAGTAGGGCAGGTCATGTGTTCTCCCTTCCAAAATTTCCTTTTTGTTCTCCTTTAGCTGGTAGTAACTCCCCACTTTCTATAGTTACAAAGTTGTGGGTGGTTTCTTGAGGTGGTAAGATAGTTCAATAGTTGACCTGGTTAGATTTCCTTCCAGATTTTTGCCACATGTGCTCTTATCAGATAACTACCTTCTACAACTACAATCCCCTCCTAAATTTCAACTAAAATAGTCCCTTTTTGACTCAAAGAGGTAATTACATGGTAAAATCTTACCTTTATCTCCCTTTTTTGCCAATGTGGCAACTAATCTATCATGGAGCCCAGAATAACAAATCTGACATGGCAAAATCTCCTCCATCCATTTAAAAATATTTTGACATGTGGCATGATCCTAAATTTTTTCAATTTATGGTGTAAACACATACATTAATCCCCATCCACAAATTGAGATTCATAGAAATCCCAATCCCAAAACACACTAACTATGTGACCTTCAAGTTTTCATCACAATAATAGTGAGAACCCACAAACCAAGAACAATATCTAGCAATATATCATGGCCACCCAAAGTAACAAAAAGAGTTAATGGCTTCTACGAACCTTCCTATGATCGATGCACTTATGTAATTCAATCCCTTCATCATTGATATCTCCATCAAGTAAGATGCATGCTATGTGTCAAGATCTTTAGAGCTTAGTGTATCTTTCTTTGATTCCCAAGACTTACATGTTTCTTGAATGAACTTTCATTCTTGCAATGGCCATGGACTTTACAAGTAGACTCATCTTAATCAAAGGGCTAGAAATATCTTTTCTCATAAACTTGAGAGAAATGAATTCTACCTTGACTCACCCATTATTCTCATATGATTTGTGATGCACTTAATAACTATATTATTCTCAACACCTTCAAGTGGTTGTTGACAATCTCAAGTCAAAGAATCAATTACACACATCTCATGGTTGAGAAGTTATTAATGACATGTATATGTAGAGTTTTTATGTTGGGTCTATCACGCCCCAAAAATAGGAGCAAAACAGATGTCGTACACTTATAAAAAGATCCCAAAAATGCACGAGGCTTAGAACCTACTAAATTCATAATGTATAACTCACAACTATTAATCCACTAAAATAAGATCCTTAATAGCAAAATAAAATTTAACTTTTAATGACCAAAGTTTTACCAGGCCAAAAGTACACAAAAAAAATTTACAACTCTATTAATAAGGTCATGAGTATCTTCAAGGGGATCTAGTCTACAATGATTTATCTTCCAACATTTATGTCAAAAAATATAGGTGACTAGCAGCCTAACTCCACAATAATCTAAATCCAAAATACAAATGGCTAGCCTTCTAGCTTGTCACTCCTCTTGGTTTCCCATATCTCGAGTCTCACTACCTGAAATGGTGGACAAGAAAAAACTATGTGAGATAACTCAGTAAGTAAAAATATGAGTAGCTCTTATTTAAAGTTAAAGCATGCCAAATAAATAATTTAAGACATAAACAGAAGGAAAAAATGTCTCAATTACAAACCATCAATGTGGAATAAAACTAAGTGGTGGTCTCTTTAATTAGTCATGACCAATGTTTAACAAACTTCCACTGACAGGCATCAGTAATAACTAGTGTACTATGCCGTTGGCAAGAATACAGAATGAACCAATCTTATAGATATACATGTCGACATGTGCCAACGTTTACAAACTCCCATTGGTGGGCATCAGTAATCATGACCATATTGGAGACAAAATCATGCAAGAGTTCAATAAGACAATCCATAGCGTACAAACCAATTTTAGATTTCTAGAACAAACGAGCAAACTTCATGTAAGCATGCTCAACTCAATAAAAATAATAGCAACTTCATTTCTAATCAATCATGCTCATATACTACTAAAAAACAGTTTAGGTCTTGCCACCATCTCAAAAATAGTTTAAAATATGCTTTTAAAACATTTACCTTAAATCCAAGGGCAATTACTATAAATTTACTTACCTCCCATTGTCGATATACAATAAGCGAGAATTCAGTTCTCAAGGTGGTGGTGATGCTTTAGAACCTATACCACATCAAAGTACAAACAAGAATACAACCTACCCCATTTACCTAAATCAATTTTTTCTGATTCCAGTATCAAATTTCTAATCAAAGAAACAATTTCTTCCTACACATACTTACTATTTCTACCCATTGAAACCGTATTAACATATTAATTTGTTTAACCATACTTAGAGCATGCTTAAAACAACTCCAAAAGTCACACATAGTAGTAGAATTTTCTAGGTAATAATAGTAGCAATTTATGGGCAAAACAATAGAGTTTTCTGGGTAAAAACAATAGCAATTTATGGGAAAAAACAATAGAATTTTCTTCGTGAAACAACAAAAGTTTTTGGGTAAAATAACAGCAATGTATGGGCAAAACAGCAAAGTTTTTTGGGTAAAAATAGCAGCAATTTATGGGTAAAAAGCAAAATTTTCTTGGTGAAACAACAGAAGTTTATGGGTAAAATAACAACAATTTATGGGCAAAACAACAGAGTTAATGGGTAAAAATAGTAGCAATTTATGGGGAAAAAAAGAAAAATTTTCTTGGTGGAACAATAGAAGTTTCTAGGCAAAACAATAGCAATTTATAAGTAAAACAACAGAGTTCTCTAGGCAAAAACAATAGCAATTTATGGGCAAAAATAGTAGAATTTTCTAGGTGAAGCAACAGAATTTCTAGGCAAAACAACAGAGTTTTTCTAGGTAAAAATAGCAACAATTTATGGGCAAAATAGTAGAGTTTTCTAGGTAAAAACAACAGCATGACAAACAAGAATTCACAAGGTATTCAAGCCACTCGCGACAATCAAGTCATTCCCAAAAAAATTCTACAACCATAGTGAAGTGGGACAATTAATCTATACTAATTGCCGCAACAAGCATCAAATAGTGCAGCAAACTTAGAAGCGAGAAAAGCACATACAAATTCCAAAATCACTTAGAATAACATGGTCATAATCTTACAAGAAAATAATGAACAAACACACATGAGATCCTATGAAATTTTCAATCTCAATCTTTCACATAGCCCTCTCAAAAACCTCCCTATCAATAGAATTTCTCAACCATAACAATAAAAAGGGATGAGTGCTAACCGGTTTCTAAGCATAAGTTTTAGCTCGTTGACCCCAAGCACTTCAAGTGAAACAAAGGTGGCTGAAAATTTCCCAACTTAACAGTCAATATTCACACTATTTCTACTGAAAATAAGGGAAGGAGATAATTTCCTACTCAATCTTACCAAAATGCTAGTGAAAGGCTATGGGTCTTCCTAGAAATGAAGACCTCAGTTGTGAAGATAGTAGAAAATTGAGGAGGTCGGCGATTGCTAGTAGAAAAGAGAGACCTCGGAGCTATTGAAGATGATGTGTAGCTGTTGTGAGGTGGAGACAGTGGTCTACAACTTAGGGAGTTGGGAAATGCGGAACAGAATAGTTCAAAGGGGTGAGACCGGTGATGAAAGATGATGAAGAGCAAAAATTGGTGATGGATATCAGAGAATGGTCATGGTGGTTACTAAATCTAGGGTTCCCAAAATAAGAAGGATTGGGAGTGTATACTCCTTTCCCTTTTTTTTTTCTTTTTTTTTAGGTGCAGCTTCCACCTAGGTTTTTGAACTTGGTCATTAGGCCCAACAAATGATAATTTCTCTCATATAAGTCCTTAACTTAAATTTTAATGTTTTAGAAATTTTGGGATATTACAAGGTCAATCCATTAAAATGCATGGATTAATTTATATACCTTTAATGACTCATTTTTTATGAAGTTGACTTATTTGTGTATTTATGTTAGATTTTTTTTGTGAATGTAAAAAAATATAATGAGTTGTTTACATTTTTACATTATTGCAATTGAATTACAGTTATTAATATATTAATGCATTAGAAAATAAGAATTATAGAAGGTTAAAAAATTAAATAAGACTTATATATTATTTATGAAATTAAAATTTATTTTCTTATAATACTAGATATTGTTATAAAAATTATTAAGATTAAAAATAAGAAAATAATTATTTATTTTTTTAAGTCTAGATATTTATTTTAGTCACAAGCTAACAAAAATTCCCTAAATTCCCTTATTTATTTTTGTTTTGGTCAAAAATTTGAAAAATTATTCACCAAAGTTCCAAAAATATCTTTTGTCTAATATTTCAGTTCATTATTTTGACTGATGCATAAAAATAGAAAATTTTCAAAATTTTTCAACATTACATTTTTTATTAATAGTTTTGATTGAATAAATGATTCACAAAATACCAAAAATATCCTTCCATATTAATTCTATTATTTAGATTGATCGAAATAATGTTTTCAATTTGTTAATTTAGTGGACTCGTTTGGTCAAGGAATTTAATCGAAATAAGGGATTAAAATAATATATAAATAGTTTGAAGAAACCTTTTGTCTTAATATATTCCTTGGTTGATGATTTACCCAAGCAATTTTTTTATCAATATTTTTAATCGAATTATTGGTTATTTCAATCAATCTAAAATTCTGTTCAAATTATTATTTTGCATATAGTATATTCAAATCAACAATTTGAACAACATGCTTGAGTGAATTAATGTTTTTTTGTCAAAGTATGAGCTTATTCAATCAGTGTGCTTAATTGAATAAGACCCGGTTTCTAATAGTGTCTCGAAATGAGAGTAGGAAAAGGATTTTCAATTCCATCATTATGACACCTGGATACAAAGGGTGTAATGGAGCTACAACTAATTGGAGGCTCATCATCTTTCTTGCCTCCTTTGACTCCGCATTTTTGAAACCATCTATACGAAATTTAGAAAATTTAAGACATAAAAGTGGGGATTTGGAATTAAACATATTGACGATGTATAAGAATCATGCATTTAGGATGTATATCAAGTGTTGGAAGATTTCAAGAAATAGAAAGATATTACAAATTCCATAAATTCAAGCATTCAAGCAATGTATCCTAATAAGGGTAGATTATTAAAAGGGATCCAGTTCCAAATACAAAAATTTAATCAAGTAAACCTCCCAATTAATACCCCACTCTTATCTCACCATATGTTAGATCCATTTCTAGTCAAGTTTTATTTAATGTCTAGGTATTTTGTTAAACTTAGACTCTAATAGCACAAATTGTCATGCCCTCGATCCTCTAGAGAGACAAATGTCAAATACTTGTGAGTGAGACCCACATGTGCACAAGATTTATGCAAAATTAAAAATTAATTAAAATTCAGCTAAAATCCTCATACAAATAAAAATTCAAAGTATGTTCCAAAATCTAAAATTTTAAATTTAACTAATTCAAGTTATCAAATATTTCAAAAAAAAATTTCTAACTAGCCATTTAGAAAGCCAAAACTAAATATCAATTCCAATGAATATAAATACTAGCTAGCCAACTAGTATATTACTCATTCTGACCCAATCATCGTCATTTCTAACATTAGCACTAGAAATGTTAAGATTTTGTGATAACTACTCAATAAGTAACAATATTGTCATAACTCGATTTTTCATTTAGTTTATTTAGACTTTTCATAAATATATATATATATATATATCAATCACAAAATTAATCCAAAAAAAATCAAAAAAATCATCAAATATAAAATATGAAAATTTCTCTTTTCTTTAACTAATATATCTTTATTTTGTTTCAGGTGGTATGTGCAAAAAGAACTTCAAGAAGAAATGGGGAAAGAAACTCAAAAAAGGGACTTAATTGAAGGAATTTGAAATGCAAGGCCAAATTACCAAAAATCATACAAAAGTCTTAAGTTCAGCCCATTTCTCAAACCCATCCCAATTAAGCCCACTAAATTATCCAAACCTAAAACTCAAAACCCAAAAAAAGAAAAAAAAAAAAAAAACAAGCCCACCATTACCCAAAAGGTACAAAAACAAAAAAACCCAAGGCCTAAACCCAAAAATAAAAAAATAAAAAAAAAAGTTCAAATCTTTTTGCTTTCTAGAATCTTCTCTTCCCAAACCAGCTTCCTTCCCCCTTGCTTGGTGCACCTGAGCCTGCGCCCTGCTACACCCTACTACGCCCCTTTTTGCTTGCTGCACTCTGCACTGCTGTGCCCCCTACTTGCTGCAATCGCCTGCGCCCTGCTTGTTGCACCCTGCACTCTGCTGTGCCCCTACCTACTCTGCTGCGCCTCCTGCACTCTGCGCCCCAATCCCGCGCCTCTACACTCCTGCTTGCTATAGCCCTGTCCTTGCCTCACCTACCAAAAAAACAACGCATACTAGACAAAATTGGCATCATCAGTGATTGACAGAGCAAGTTTTATTTATTTACTTATTTCATTTTTATTTTATTTTATTATTTGGGTATATATATAGAAAAAAAATCAGATCAGGAAGGGGTTTTTTTTTTTTTTTCTTTTGTTGATTTTTGGGAGTCTCCGTCTGGGTTTTCGAGAGAAGTAGAGGGAGATTTCATGGAGAAGAAGGAGGGGGTTCTTTTGGCTTGAGTCTGGTGTTGACAGCGGAGAAAAAGAGGGGTTTTTCTGTTGGAAGGAGACTGGTGTTTGAGAAAGGAGATTATCAAGTTGCAAGAGGGATTTCATCTTTGGTTGCCATTGTTAGGTATAGCTCTGAACAGGGTTTTTTTTTTTAGGAAAATGGTGAAGAAGATGATGGGAACTTGATCCCGTGGGTGGGATTCCTCCCACCAAATCCAGATCTGTTTTCCTCTAAAAAATCCGTCGTGTTTGTTTTGGTTTTTTTTTTTTTACCTTCTCTGTTGATGTTTTCATGTTCTTTTATTTAGATCTGGTGTTAAGCTTATGTATGCCTTTTGTGGAAATGAAAAATGAAAAATAAAAAAAAAATCGAGGATTGCTCTGTTTATTGCTTGATGAATGTGCTTTTTATTGGAAGTGAGATGAATCCTAATTCTCAATTCCGTTTCTTTCCAGATTCCTTTTTCTTTTCTTTTTTTTTTTTGTTCGATGTTTGATCTATTTTTGCAATGTTTGGATGAATGCTTTGTGTTTGTGGGCTAGCATGACTCGATCCAATCCAATATAAAAAAAAGCAAAAAAACAAAAACAAAATATATATATATATATATTTAAAATTAGAATTAGTAACCAATTAAGTTAATTAGTTTAATTTATGATTAATGAAATTAATTAATTTTAATTAAAATAAATTAGTCATGTTTATTGGTTTTAATTTAAGATTATCTTAATTAAAGGTTAATAGACATGATTAATTAATTTTAATTAATATTAAATTAATTCGTTCAATTAATTAATTTAAATCTTTTTTTATTATCTTGGTTAATGTCAAAGTTATCCTTTTTTATTTCAATTTCACCTAAAAATTTTATGATTAAGCAATTTAGTCCTAGGTTTCAAACCTTTTCAAATCAGTCCTCCATGTTTTTGAATTTAATCAGTCAGTCCATTTAATTCATTGTGCATGCATGTTCTTGATTTTGTCCATTTTAGTCCAAAAATTTAAAAATGTTACAATTTGGTTTATCCCTTTTTTAAGTTTGCCCCTTAAGACCTAAATACAAAGCTAATGAATAAGTTGAATTAAAACCCCAATGTTAAAGTATGCACCCATGTTCAAATGGAGCATTGTGAGGTACGTGTACACCTTTCCTCACTCCTAATCGAACTCCTGAACCTCGATTTTTGTGCAGGCTTGTTTTTTTTTTTTTTTGTGATTTATCCCACCTTATAATTTGGACGAGTGGTGACTCCCTTTTCTTTTATATTTTTCACACTTAATAATAATAATTTTTCATTATTTTGAAATCTTAAGTGTGGTCGTCAATAGATTGGCAACTCCATTGGGGACTCAAACCCAAAATCTCTAGTTTCCATATTTTGGGCTCACGAGGGTCGAGCTAATACTTTAACTTTGGGGAATTTTTCATTTTTTTTATTTTCCTTGGTTGTTGAGTCTTTGTTGAGTCTTTATGAGTCTTTGTCACTTATTTCCTTGGTTGTTGAGTCTTTGTTGAGTCTTTATGAGTCTTTGTCACTTATTGCATGTGCTTGTTATGTGGTGCTTGTTGCTTGTTTGCTTATCGTTTTGGTGGTTGCTTTTATTGTTCTTGCCTTTGAGTGATAATCTTGTCATATCATGACATGCATCATACCTTCCTCACATGTTCATGCATCATATCATCTCACATGCTCATTAATCATTGATGTTATATGCTTATTCATCATGCATCATGCTTAGATGCCTATTTGCTTGTGTGTGGATATACTCACCTTTTACACTTGGCTTTAAAGTACGCATGAGTCTTTTCCCTCTTGTGCGATAATTTATGTCTTGTTGCATGCTAAGTGTTGGTTGCTTTGTGTTGGTTTCTTTGTGTTACTAACCTTTTTCATTTGGCACGGGAGTACTAAGTGTAGAAATAAATGCCCTTAATTAAAGAAGGGTATGAAGAAGAAAGCTTTTGCCTCCACTTGGAGTGATGATGAGACTAGCTCAATGGAAAGTGAGAGCTCCTTAGAGAATAGTGTTGCAAATCTTTGCTTCATGGTTCAAGAGGATAACGACAAAGATGAGGAGGTAAATTCTAACTTCTCTAGTTCAATTAATGAAAGTTCCTTTGAGAATTCTTATGATGATTTATGCAAAGTTCTTGATTAGTCTATGAATGATATCAAGACATTAGGGAATGAGAATCCTATTTTTACTAAAACTATTTCATTGCTTAAAAATGAGATTGAATCTCTTTCAAAACAAAATGAGGTTTTAGTTAAAGAGAATGCCTCTTTAAATGTTGAGATTGCATCTTTAAAGGATGAAGAATCTAATAATGCTTTGAAAAAGGAAAATGAGAACTTGAAAGGGAAAGTTTGTGGTCTTGAGAATGTGATTTCCAAATTTACCTTGAGTAAAGAAAATTTTGATTTTATTTTAAGGTCTCAAAGAAGTGTTTATGACAAAGAGGGTATTGGATTTGATTTTTCTAAAAAGCAAAAAACTTTTAAGAACTTCTTTGTAGCAACAAGTTAATTCTCTAATCCTAAAGTTACTTGCTATTGTTGTGGTGCAAAAGGACACTTTACCTATGTATGTCTTTTGAAGAGATTGATAGCTCAAGGCAAAGTAAAGCAAATTTGGGTTCCAAAAGGAACTATAAGCACTAACCCCCAAGGATCCAAGCAAATTTAGTTACCTAAAATCCAAAATTGATTTTTGTTGTGTAGGTGTGCCTTCTAAGCAATATGAAGAACAAATGGTATCTAGGTAGTAGATGCTCAAGGCACATGACAGGTGTTCCTTCACAATTCTCATCACTTATGCCTTTGGATGGAGGAACCATGACCTTTTGGTGACAATGGGCAAGGAATTGGTAAAATTGGTAACAAATCTATTTCCTTTGAAGATGTTTGGTATGTGGATGGATTGAAACATAACTTGCCTAGCATTAGTCAATTGTGTGATTGTATGCTTAGTGTCATGTTTTCTAAATCTTTTTGCAAGATTATTGATTCCAGAGATGACAGAGATGTGATTGATTTGCATGACATAGATGCTAATGTTTGTCTTGCTTTCATATCTCATGATGATACTTGGTTGTGGCATAAAAGATTAAGACATGCTAGCATGAGTGTTATCTCTAAGTTGTTAAAGCATGATCTTGTTGATGGCTTGCCTAAGGTGAATGTAAATATTGATGGTGTTTGTGATGCATGTATGAAGGATAAGCAAACTAGAGTTTCCTTTAAGGCTAAGAAGTGCATATCTACCAACAAACCACTTAAGTTACTTCATATGAATTTGTTTGGACCTATGTGCACTTTAAGCATTGGTGGGAAATTATATGTGCTTGTTGTGGTTGATGATTACTCTAGATTTACATGGGTTACTTTCCTTGCACAAAAAAAAAGATGCACTTGATGCTTTCAAAAGTCTTTATAAAAAGCTTCAAAATGAGAATGCTTTACCTATTGTTTTTATTAAAAGTGATCATGGGGGAGAATTTGAAAATAATGATTTTGAAAATTTTTGCATTGAACATGGTATTGATCATAACTTTTCAACCCCTAGAACTCAACAAAATGGGGTGGTTGAACGAAAAATAGTACTGTCGAGGAAATGGCAAGTACTATGCTTTGTGAGAATGATTTGCCAAATTCCTTTTAGGCCAAAGCCGTTGCAACCTTTTGTTTTTTGTTGAATATAGTTATGGTAAGGCCTATTCTTAACAAAACCCCCCATGAGATTATAAATGAAGAAAACCCAAGATTTCCTACTTGAAAGCTTTCAGTTACAAATGCCTTGTTTTGAGCAATAGAAAGGATTCTCTTGGAAATTTTGATTCTAAAAGTGATGAAGGCATCTTTCTTGGATACTCCATCTCTAGTAAAGTTTATCATGTGTATAAAAAACATACTAAAGTTGTTGAGGAATCTATTTGTGTGGTATTTGATAAGACTAACCCTATTTGCTCTAGAAAGTGTTGTGATGATGATGATGATGTAGATGCTATTGAAGAACAAATGAAAGATGTAAATCTCAAGGTGAACAACACCAAGGAAGCTCGAAATGAGAAAAATGAGGAGGACAAAAATGAAGAAGTGCAATAAATGCATGAGCAAAGAGAACCAACTTTCCCTAGAAAGAAATCCTCTGTCAAAGGTAATGAAATCATTGGAGATCCATCAAAAGGGGTAACTACTAGATCTCATGCTCATAATACTTTTGTTTTTGTTGCTTTTATATCTTAAATTAAAGGACAGTGATTGGTACACCCAACATTTCAACACCCGATTCAACACCCTCCAGTTTAGTCATTAAAAAATCACTATTTTTTAGTTTGAAATTAAAAACAAACAAGTATAATGATACAATTATGCACACGTGATACAGGAACCGACTGAATTAACTGTATTTATATTATATTTTTAATGACTAAACTGAAAGGTGTTGAACCGGGTGTTGAAACATTGGATGTACCAATCATTTCCCTAAATTAAACCAAAGAATCTTGATGATAGTTTAAATTATCCTAATTGGGTGATGGCTATGCAAGAGGAATTAGCTCAATTTGAAAGAAATAAGGTTTGGAATCTTGTTTCTAGGCCTAAAGACCATCCCATCATAGGAACTAAATTGGTTTTTAAAGGCAAGTTAGATGAGAATGGTATTATGGTTAGAAACAAGGCAATAATGGTTGCTAAGGGCTATTGTCCAGACGAAAGAATTGATTTTGATGAGATTTTTGCCCGGGTAGCTAGACTTAAAGCAATTAGAATGTTATTGGCCTTTGCATACTTTAAAGGTTTTATACTTTACCAAATGGATGTTAAAAGTGCTTTTCTAAATGGTTATATTCAAGAAGAAGTTTTCGTTGAGCAACCTCTCAGTTTTGAAGATCCATTTTACCCAAACCATGTTTATAAACTTTCAAAAGCTTTATATGGTTTGAAACAAGCTCCTAGAGCATGGTATGAAAGATTAAATAGTTTTTCGCTTGCAAATGGTTTTTCTAGAGGTAGAGTTGATACTACCTTGTTTGTAAAAAAACAAAGGCCAAGATATACTAATTGTCCAAATATATGTTGATGATATTGTATTTGGTGCTACTAATGATTCTTTTAGTCAAGAGTTTTCAAAAGCTATGTAAGGTGAATTTGAGATGAGCATGATGGATAAGCTTAACTTCTTCTTGGGACTTCAAATCAAACAATCCAAAAAGGGCATCTTCATCAACCAAAGTAAACACACAAAAGAGATGCTTAAAAAGTTTGGCATAGAGCTTGGTAATCCAATAGCTACTCCTATGAACACTTCAATTAATCTTGATAAGGATGAAGGAGGTAAGCCTATTGATCCCCAGCT